AGAGAGGTGATTTGATAGACTTTAAATATCTGAAAGGCTGTCATCTGAAAAATGGAAGTACCGTAGCTTAGTTTGCAGCTGCTCCAGAGAAGACCTGAAACAATGGATTCAATTTATCAAAATTAATAAAAGGAGAGAGTCTTTGGGAAGACCTTCCTGACAGAGCTGTTTGTCCGTGGGTCAGTTAGGGTTGTTTCTTTTATTAAAATCTTCTTAGAATAAACATATTTGATTACTGTGAATGTTTAGCTCAATATCTATGTTCTTCCAATATCAGATCGATCTGAAGCTGAGGGGAAGGCTAAAGCCCTCTGTAAACCTTGGCCATGCTAATGTAACCCAACCGTTCTCATCCAGAGTGGGCTGGGTTCCAGTTTCATATAAGCTAATTCATCAACATAAATCTTTTTAGGGGGAGGATCATGTAACTAATATTACTTGTGCTAATTTGTAAGTCTCATTGATGCGAATGGAATTTTCCATAAAGTGTCACGTTTAAGACTGTTAAAGAGATATTTTGTGCGTTACAGCAAAAAGAAAAAAGTATGCAGAGCAGCTGGGCCCTGGGAACATGGGTCCATTTCTCTTTTTCTCAACTACGCTTGTATTTTTATTTCCTGCAACGTAAGACAGTGAAATGTGTAGAGCTGATTCTTCCCTCTCATGTTGCCCCTGATTCTTCAGAGAGAGAACTCCCATGGCTGTTTTCTGTCCAACTTTAGTATAAAGCAGCTTGGGAAATATGACGATTTGGGTTGTTTGCTGTACTTTGTGTGTGTGCGTATTTAACAGAGTACAGATTAGTAGTATTTGTTTTTACGTTGATAAGTTCTGTTTGGTTTTGTACTTTTTCAGTGTGCTTATATATTAAATAAATACTACTAAGTATTAATTTCCAAATAATTGCTTCCTCATGAAAAAGCACCTGTAATGTTACGCAGAGTTTTCCAAATACCTGACAAGAGGTATGTTTAGGGATTCCTGCCATAGCCAAATGCCAGGTTTGTGCACTGTGAAGTAAACTGGATATGTTAAAGGCATATGCCAATACGTTGCAGTATCTCATCCTAGATGTCATTGAAGCATAAATGGCTGGCCATGTCTCATCCCCATTCCCCCTTTAGACAAAGCAACATTCAGATTCAAACCTTATCTCAACATGTCTAAGTTGCCTTGTTGTGTGCTTTCAAGTCGTTTCTGACTTATGCTGACCCCATCATGAGGTTTTCTTGGCACTTGGAGTTTGTCACTTGGAGTTTGCCATTACCATCCTCTGAGGCTAGGAGACTGTGACTTGCCCAAGGTCATCCAATGGGTTTACATGGTTGAGGCAGGATTCGAACCCTGGTTTGCTTACTCCTGGTTTTCTCAGGAGTCCTAAACCCTCCTTTCTGGTCCCTCTTGTTGCATGTGTTCTGTTCCAGGTAGACGGAGTGGCTAATGTTATTGGAGTGTGTATATGTGTACACATGCACAAGCATGCAAGAGGCTCCTGAAACCTGGCAAGTAGGTTTCCATCTGGGAGTGTATGCAATCCATTGAGCTTCAGAGTTGTGATTTCAGAGTTTTAGGAGGTGCACAGTTTCAGTGAGTGAGCTCAACCCCAAAGAAGTTTTGCATGTGGCTAGTAGCTAAAGTTGGAAAAGAAAAGAAAACCCCACCAAAAAGGAAAAAATATAGAAGCAGCATTTGTGAAGCTGGTTTAAGAATGACAGTGATTTCCACTGTATGACCCAGTTATCTGGTTGTCTCTTGAACTGAAGTTTGCGTGATAGGCAAACTGGTTTTTACATTACTTTTTTATACTACTTTTTCTAATGTTATCGCTATAATTATTGCATCCATAGTCTCTGCTGTCTTTCCATGATAGACTATCCCCATGCCCAGTGTCAGTCACATTGCTGCCTCATGTGCCCTCAGTACATGCCCTAGACTGAGTTTGAATACTAGGACTACCATTATAAATAGGACCATAAACGGTGTTTCTGTGTGTGTTGTTATTTCTGACTTAGGGCCACCCTAAGGTGAACTTATCCTGGAGTTTTATTGGCAAGATTTGTTCAGAAGAGGTTTGCCCTTGCCTTCCCCTGAGGCTGAGAGAGCGTGACTTGCCCAAGGTCTCCCAGTGGGTTTCATGGCCAATCTGGGAATCGAATCCTGGTTTGCAGAATCGTAATCATATGCTCAAACCACTGTGCCATGCTGGCTCTCTGGAAACCACTATACCAGCCAGCTTGTCACTCACAGCAGTAGAAAATTGACAATTGACATTCTCCACAATGGTCCTGTCTATATGAGGTTCACTGGTTTGTTTGTTTATTTATTTATTTATTTATTTAATATGTTGCCTGTCTCCAAACCTGGATCCAAGATGACTCACAAAAACTGCTTTTAAAAAACTAGTTTTTAAAGCACAATTTAAAACATCACATTAATGTGACAAGTTAAAAACACAAAATAATTGAAAGCCTACTGAGTTAAAAATATAAAACAGTTAAAAACGTACAAAAGCAAACAATCCCAGCCGATAATTATGTGTGCTAATAATTTGTAGTGCATCAATCCCTAAAAAGAACAGGGGATCAAAATTACGCAAATTCTGATTGGGAAAAGCTTATCTGATTATTTAGTTGGAAGAGATCTACTGAGTGCCGCCTTGTTGTTTGTTTAATTTCTATCCCACCTTTCCTCTAAGAAGGTTAAAACAAAACATAACTAAAAGCCTTGTAATACAAAAGTTCAAAAAACAATTAAATTAGTTATCGAAAAACCTCTATGATTTAAAACAAGCATTCTCAAACTTTGGTCCTCCAAATAGTTTAGACTTCAGCTTCCAGAAGCCCCATCAAGCTTGGTCAACAGTCAGGAATTCTGGGAGCTGAAGTCCAAAACATCTGGAGGACCTACATTTGGAAATCACTGAAAAACATAATAAAATCATTTTAAAAGGCCTGTCAATATAGATAAGCTTCCCATTACAGAGAGGGGGCCACTTCAGGCTCCCAGGTTGCCTTGGGGCAACCACTGAGAAGGTCCTCTCCCATGTTTTTTGCTGGAGAGCAAGAGGGAGCAACTGTGACACATTTGGGAGACAACAACTGTACCTGGATCCTCCAGTGGCCATACAAACTGTGGACCAGAGTGGACAGAAGTCCAGTCTCAGTTTTCATATCCACTGGTAGCTGTGTTGGCCATATTGTTGTTGTTGTTAACTGCTTTCGCATTGGTCTTGATCCATGGCACCCCTATGAATGAGATATCTCCAGGCCCTCCTGTCCTCTACTGCTCTGCCCAGCTCCTGCAAACTCATATTTGTGCTCTCTTTAATAAAGTCTTGCAGGTGGCCTTCCTCTCTTCCTACTTCCCTCCACCTTTCCTGACGTTATTGTCTTTTCCAACTATTTATGCCTTCTCATGATATGTCCAAAGTCCAAGTCTTGTCATCTTGGCTTCTAGGGATATCTCTGGGTTGATCTGCTC